CGACGAAGAATTCGAAAATGCAATCGTTTGTGGCCAAAAATGAGGTCAAGTGCCTTGATTTGGGCAGTTGTGGTGAGATTGTGCGATTTTTTCACCTTCTTCTTCAATAATAGCCTCCCTAATGCCAAATTTGAACCATATAAAAGAAACATGTTATACGTCAAAAGAAACTAGATATCAAGCGCTACATTTTAGGAACACACCGCACCAGTGCCCTGTTTTAGCCCTAAAATAGTGATTTTCGGTGATTTTTCGACTTTTTTAGCCTCCCCCTCCCTTCCAAAGGGGAGGACGACCCCAAACATTGTTATTTTTTGATTCGTTGGAGTCTGGCGAGAATTTTATCAGAACACTTCACCAGTGTCAGACCACCTATTTGGTGTGAAAAAAAAGTAAGTAGTCGAAAAACCATTGGAAATGGTGAAAACACCGAATTTTTTTCTCATAAAATATGAGTTGGCGGATAGTTAGGGAATATCGAAAAACTCAAGAATTTGAGGTGGGCCGACTTTTAAGCCCAAAAATTCGAAAAAATAAAACCACGTCCAATTGACTTTTTTCACATTTTATACTTTGAACCCACTTTTCAGGGCCTGAATGGGCCCGGATGGGGTGGTCATAGCGGACTTTTTTGTAGCCCCATCGATTATCTATCCAACCATGCATATAGTTTTGAAAGTTTGTACCACACTTTTCTAATGTAAAAATGTCAAAAAGTGCCATTTTTCATTTTTTTCAATATTTGGGTCACTCTAACTTTTCATCAGGTGGGGAAGGTCACCCTAATTTTTTTGGCTTTGCGAGTTTTTGGCCATAAGAAGTTTATACACCAAGTTTGAGCGAAATCGGAGAGGTCATCTGCAATTTTTTTCCCACTTGAGCTAAGTACACAGTTCCTCGTGAAATGAAAAAATTTCTCCGGTGAAATTTTCACCAGTGATCTTTGTATCAAGTTTTTTTATATTCAAATTGCAAGTATAATGATTTTTGATGAATAAAACAGTTAGCTGCTATCATTATCAACACAATACATCAATAAATTTGTGTTTTGAATTTATTCTTCTATATATTTCGGTCACAGCAAATTTTTTCACGGTCGTGAAATTAATTTCTCGTGCATTTTGAACGCGAAAAATTTTTCACGACCGTGAAAAATTTTTTAGAGGCGAAAATAAATAGAAGAATAAATTCAAAACACAAATTTATTGATATGTTGTGTTGAAAATGATAGCAGCTAACTGTTTTATATATCAAAAATCATTATACTTGCAATTTGAATATAAAAAAACTTGATACAAAGATCACTGGTGAAAATTTCACCGGAGAAATTTTTTCATTTCACAAGGAACTGTGTACTTAGCTTAACAGGGAAAAAAACACATGAATATAAACAAGAAAAAAAAACTCTGTATTTTACATCGTTTTAGAGCAATGAGAGAAGCTACCAAATTGGCACTGTCTGGACGACCAATTTATAATGGTGTCAGCGAGCAAGCCTTAACAACAAATTTTGAATTGCTAAATTTGGTACCAAGCGATCATCCGTATCACTTGAAAATTAGTGATAACCAACTATTTCAAAGTAAATCCTCCAGCACCACCACCGCCAGTTTCACAGCACATCACAAAGCAAAACGGTCAACATCGACAACAACAACAACGACGACAAAAGGTGCAAATGTGATTTCGACGCCGAGGTGGCGTCGTGTTGGCTTAGTTTCAGCATCGAGCGTTCAACTGGACACGATTGTGTGGCCGGGTGGAGATATCGTTGTATCAGGTAGATGGCTTTTTTTAATTTTATTTTCTTGCTTTGGTAGCTGCATTTGGACCAAATGACACATGGGTGTTGAATGTCATTCAACGCCACTAAGCTGTAGACATCTCTCTTCGGCTTTACGGCAAACAACAGAACCAACACTGAACATGAAAATGACATGTTCAATTGTGTTTGTTTCGTTAGTTTCAACTGTGCCGCTACGAGAGGTCACTTTCGTCGTTTCTTGTTGTTATTTTACATGTAAAATCAATGGTATTAGACGAGGATGAAATGACACACAATTGATGCTTCGTGCGTTGGATTTTGGCGTTGAAAATCGATAAATTCAATCTTAATTCCAACAGGTTTGTCGGCTGGAGCCCGAACGGTATTTCGAATCGTAACAGCATTGGCGCCACCATTTGTCATGGAATCCGAATTGGACGAAGATGGTTTGTGTTTGCGTGGGTTACCATGTCATCGCGTATCTCCAGTCGGTATGTATTTTGTCGATTCAATTTCGGCTTTTGAAAAGCACACTTCACTCCCCCTCTTCCCATCTCCCCTTGAGTATATGTATTAATGTGTTCTACCTCCGCCTCTTTGACGTAATTCGATTGGTAATCGTTTTGGTCATGTTTCCGATACGAAATATTCGATGCAAAATAGGACGACACAATTTAACGTTGATGTTCAACGCAATCGAGACCAGAGATCGGCTAGAAGAAGATGCCGTTGAACACGGAAATGATCTACCACCCAAACCAGAGCAACTCGATGAGAAAATCTCACATGAGTAAGAGTCATTTTACTACAACATAATCTATATTCATATCTAGCCCAAGAGAAAAACGAAGAAGCGAAATTCATTTTCATAGACCAGTTTTTATATGTGCAGTTTTTGCAATTTTCACTCGAAAACTACACACACATTCACATCCATAAACATAAATGGAGAGATAAAAGTTAAGCTTGAGCAGCTAGTACAGCTTAAGGTTGATGAAAATCGAATTTTAATGTTTGTAGCATATGGCTATATAGAAACAAAGCGACAGAGAATGGGACAAAGTGAAGTAAAAATGGAATTTGATTGTCTAATTAAAAACATTTCAGTACGAAATGTTGCTATGGACTTACAATGGATTTGCTTGATAACATCGCCACCGAGTTGGGTTTCGAATTTCATCTGTACGTAGTACGAGATCAGCTATTTGGTTCGAGGCAACAACGCGATGTTAAAGATTTTATAAAAAGCAAATCAGCGCAGCATAGTAGCAACAATGACGGCATCAACAGCAGCAGCAGCAGCAGCACATCCAACAAGCCTACAACATCGTCGTCGTTGGATCATGATGTCGATGATGAGACATCCAACAGTAAGTAGAAAGACAAACAATAAACCTAAATTACACATATCTCCTACATGACTGCACTATAAAGTTCGGCATTGTTAGACCGAGACCCAGGCGAGGAAATACATACAAAACAAAAATACAGCCACGCTACGCTACGTTAAATTATCTTGCAAATTATAGCTATAGATTGTGAAAATGCCTTGGCGATGCCGTTCAACCTTTTGGTTGCTTGTCATCCATTCGTTCGTTCGTTCGTTCGTTCAAACAAACAAATGATAAAAGTGAGCAGTTGCCGTGTTTACTGTGGAGTCTCTGTGCTGGTGTACAATTGGTTGCGGACAACACCATGCAAAAACGATGTACACAATACATAATGCTCAATAACTCAATGTTGAACAACAAGAGAGAGAGAGAATGAGAGAGAAATGTTTGCAGTAGCAGTAGCAGTAGCACTTTTCTCTTTGCCTTCTTAGTCGATCCCTTCTGATATACTGCCAATTCACACTTTAATTATAAATCTGTATTTAATGTGAGACATAGGCAAACTTCCTAAAATGATAATGGAAGCATTATAACACACTCAGAACGTTAGACACAATCGATCTTACACGCAATACAATGAACCGAAAATTATCGTATTTCATTCGTGCCACATTCATTTCATTTTGTTTTAAAAAAATGAACCAGCAACCGACTAGTCAACCGAACGAAAGGCCCGGTCCGTTCATGGAGAAATCACACAACAATAACAAAACAAACACAAAAGCACACAACTTTCGCCCAAGTGGGCTAACCAAAACATTTGTAATTGTTTTCTTTTACTTTTTTCCCGTTCGTGCTGTCATCTCGTATCTGAAAACTTCCCCAACCTCATGCTCTGCCATCTTTATGATGGCGTAGATGATCAGTGGAATGGAATCATCGGAGATTTAGTTAGCGGATCTGCTGATATGTCATTTGCACCATTAAGCGTTTCCAAGTAAGTCAAATCCAATTTGTTTCTCCATTGAGCCGCGTGCGCGTTTTTAATGTGTTTGGCGTTTCGTTTATGTTTCTCATTCAATTTTTTCCGCGATAAACAAACGTTAACATGCTGTTCCATTCACCTAGCTGTTTTTCTCCGCAATGAATTTTCAACAAATTTTTGGACAATAGACCGTCTTTTGTTCCGCTTGCATGCTCATCTAGTCTTTATTCCCTGTTTTGCTTTCTTTGCTTCTCTTTCTGTTTTTTCTTCTTCGGTTTTCGTAAACTCCCAATTCGACATTCCCAAATAACAGCACATTTAAAATATTGAATTTAACGCTTTTGGTATTTTCGATCCTCTTCTCGCCCCCCCCCCCCCCCCCCCCCCGCACAAACAAAAAAATCTCATATTGAATAATGTATAGGGCCCGAGCTCAAGCGATTGACTTCAGTATACCATACTTCCATAGTGGAGTGTCTTTGCTAGCGTCTCCGAAGAGGAAATCCGAAATTCCTCTGCTTGCATTTTTGTTGCCGTTCTCGCCAGAGCTCTGGATTGCCATTTTCACGTCATTGAATATAACAGCTGTCGCTGTCGCGGTCTATGAATGGCTCAGTCCGTTCGGCTTAAACCCGTGGGGACGACAACGAAGCAAGAATTTCAGCTTGTCATCTGGTAAGTAGAAAAACTCTTTCGTCTTTTTCTTTCTTTCATATTACATATTTTTCGGTTTGTTGCTGAAACGTCTAGCAAGTTCATCGAATTTAAAATTGTCAATGGATACATGACCATTTCAGATGTCTCAAACCAATTGACTAATACCATGCCATGTCGGGTTTAATTACATATTCTCATTTTCTCTTTTGTTTTTCTCTTCCACAGCATTGTGGGTGATGTGGGGATTATTGTGTGGTCACTTGGTTGCATTTAAGGCGCCCAAGTCGTGGCCAAACAAATTTTTGATAAACGTTTGGGGTGGCTTCAGCGTTATATTTGTTGCTTCCTACACTGCAAACATTGCCGCTTTGATAGCCGGTTTATTTTTTCATCATGCAGCCAGCAGTTACGACTCATCGGTGAGTATCTCTCTATGTGTGTGTTTAAACAACTTTTGGCCCTCCTAAAACGGTTGTATGCATTTTTCATGACATATCGTGTAATAATTTCGAAACAAAACATCCCTTCAAATGGACCAACTCAGAAAACAATCAACGAGAGTATGTGTGTGTGTAGCGAGCATGCTATAACATGCTCTGGAACTTGTATTCAACACTGTTGCGCTCCCATGGTTTTAATATTCAATGAATTGTAATTGCTGGAGGAAAACTGAAAAAAAGAAGAAAAAGAATGAAATATTATTGTTTTCACAATTTCACCGACTTTATTTTTTCTTCTGTATTCGCATTGCATACATACATGTATATAGACGTATGCATATGTCTTTTCAATTGATGCCATTGTTTTATCGTGTTCTTTGTTCTATGCATATTTGTCTAGCTAACGACCCAGAAAGTGGGTGCACCCATAGCATCGGCCGCAGAATCATACGTACAAAACAAGGATAAGCATTTATGGGAACACATGAAAAAATATTCGTTGAATCACATTGAGGATGGCATACGCGGGCTAAAGTAATTGACTTTGTTATATATCTCTCTCACTCATACGTTGCATCTGTTGTTTGCTCTGCACTTCATTTTCCTTGTGTTTGTGTGAAACTGATTTTCCGCATGCTTTCTTCTTCCTCTCCACAACAAAACAAAACGCAGAAATGGGACGCTTGATCTTTTGATGGCCGACTCGCCTATCTTAGACTATTATCGGGCCACAGATCATGGTTGTAGTTTGCAGCGCATCGGTGAGACATTCGTTGAGGATACGTATGCCATTGGTATGGTGAAAGGATTTCCGTTGAGAGAATCGATATCGGCGTTAATCGCTAAATATTCAACTAATGGATACCTGGACATACTCACGGAAAAATGGTACGGTGGACTGCCGTGCTTCAAATATGAAGCGGAGATTGTGACACCGAGACCACTAGGCAAGTGTTCAATTATTATTTGCCTTCGTCTTCCATTTCTTTTTTTTTGTTCGTCTTCGTTTGGCTAAATTTCTTTTTGATTGGGTGATTTTTGTTCATATTCATTCGCGCATTTCTCCATTTTCATATAAATTGTATCGATTTGCTCTCTCTCTGGTATTTATCATCTTTTGCTTCCAATTTTTCTTTTCTTCACTGTCTTCCTCTTTCGATTTCTTTGCTTTTTTTTCTTCTTCTTCTTTATTCTCGTTTTTCTTCATTTTGGACACGACGATATATATCATCATCGTCGTCATCATCGTACATAAAATAGGTGTGGCTGCTGTAGCCGGAGTTTTTCTACTACTTGGCCTCGGCATGGTGATGGGTGTTGTAATTTTGATATTCGAACATTGGTTCTATAAATATGCGTTGCCGTCGTTGCGTCTCAAACCGAAGGGAACGATTTGGAAATCGCGTAACATTATGTTTTTTAGCCAAAAATTATATCGATTTATCAACTGTGTGGAATTGGTATCGCCGCATCATGCTGCACGCGAATTAGTACATTCGATTCGACAAGGACAAATTGCTAGCTTATTCCAAAAAAGCATCAAACGGGTTCGTATGCGCTTTACACATAGTCTTGTTATTTATTGAGTGCTACGCACCGATTGATGTCTACACCACCATTTGTTTTTCCATTCATTGTGTGTATGTGTGTGTGTGTGTGTTGGTGCGGCGTGTGTACAAGTTTTTGTTATGGATGTATACTATAGAAAAAGAGATAACCAACAAAACGGCGGCATATAATGTGCCACTATTAAACCATTTAATGGAAAACAATTTAGCAAAGTGACAAATAAAAAAAATAAGAACGAAATAATAACAATAACAATTTGACAAATTGTACGAGAGAAAGAGAGAGAGAAGCACAGCACACCGAATGTGCAATGAAGTGGAAAAGTGATGTAGAGCGTCGATTAAACGTAGCAAGTAGATTAGTTGCAAATACTGTCGTTTTCTTTCCGAATTCGTAATCAAACTTTGTTCCAGAAGGAGGATGAACAACGTCGTCGCCGCAAAAGTAAGGCACAATTCTTTGAAATGATTCAAGAAATTCGAAGGTGAATACCCAATTAATAATAACAGCTTGCAAACATAATACATACCGATAAAAAAATCAATTTGCATAAAAGGATACTAAATTTGATGTTTGCTTTATTTCCATTTTTCTCTTCTCTGCTTACATAAAAACAAAACAGGGCGCAGCAAGTGGAACGGCAAAATTTGGCGGCAGTTACCGAGGTTGAATCGCAAAAAGACCATATTAAAAGCCCACCGTTGTTGTTCAAGCCACGTGCCAGTCCGAAGCCTAGTATTTTTTCAGCATTGAAAAAAGACGGTCGATCGCGTTCAAATTCATCCGTATTGACGCCACGACGCTTTAGTACGGATAGTATTTTAGGTGATCGAATGGATTCAATTGGACGACGATTGAGTCGTGATTTGACTAATTCACCGCCCGATTTAAATCGGCGTTATGAATTTGGCAAAAACGATCTATCGCCAAATAAATATGATACAATATCTGGGTCAAATCTATCCGCTTCAAATTTAGCCGCACTTGGCATTAGCAAATCGAACGAAGCACTGTCAGGTCGTTACGATACGTTTAGTGGTAAAAATGTAGAAAAATCCAGTATACTAGCGGTGAAGCTGAAAAAACCAGGAAAACGGCCGAAAATCAGTTTCGATTCATATCATCGCGATCGATCGGACAGTGGTAGGGATGATTGTGACGACGAACTGCCACCGGTAAAAGAAGGCCTCGAACCATCATTTCTACAACAAGATCGATCGGCAGCCGTACTTCGACAAAAATTACATCAAGAGCTACGCGCAAAACACCCACCGGTTCAAACAAGACCGACCGTAACTATTGTTGAAAACACACCGAATTCCGTTGATCGGCCACCATTGCCGAAAAAATTCATCGTTCGTCATCAGCGACAAAAGAGTCTTGACAATTTGGACGTTGATAGTGATACATCGAGTAAGTTGAAAACATCACCGTATCAAAGTGATTCATCGGCCGGGAGTTTGACAAGGGCGAATCAGCGATCACAAATCAGTTTAGAGCGTTTGAGCCGTGAGGACTTGCTTCGGCTGAGCCAAAGTTCACAGTCTGAGATTCATGAATACCTGAAGAATTCATCGTTACCCGATCGAACCGCTGAGCCACCGTGAATGCAGCTAGACGACTAAAAACCACACAGGTAACATTGGACGATCCACACACACTCACCCATTCGATTGAATTTGTGTGCATTTGTGTGTGTGTGGATCAATAAATTTTCCATTCGCAATTGGCTTGCGATTGCATTTTGCTATTGTGTATCTCGCCATCGCCAACGCCATCGCCATTTAGTATCTTATATTAGTGCTGATGGGCACAATATTAAACACAATGCAGAAACTGTTTTTTGATCATGACAGATATGTTCGTATGACAAAATCAACTTCGTTTTTGTTAGTAAATAGGAAAATAAAATTTATGATTGGCATCACAATTGTGGTGTGTAGAGAATAAAAAAAAATTGACAAATGCCATTTTAATGGGATTTTAAATTTAAAAAAAAAATCAAGAGTTACAATTACATTTGAAAAAAAACTAATTAGCTAAGTAGAGTATAACAATACGCTCAATTTCAATACTTTCTGGTTTTTTTTTCTGAAAGTGATCGAACGTAGGGAATTGTTGGAAAAATTGGATCAGATATAGATGAGCAGCAAAAAAAGTCAATCAATTGAAAATGATGCTTGGTGTATGCTTTGAAAATTTATCTAATTCTTGAAATTACTTGATGTGAATCGAGCAACGTTATAAATTAGCTTAACAGAAGAAAAACACACAAACATGATTTTATTCATTTTATTTCGTCTTCTTTTTCGTCGTTGACATTACACTATTTACATAGAAATTTTAGTAAGAGATGGAAAGAGAAATGTTTGAGTCAAGCACACTTTGTTGGATGAAAAAAGGGAATAAAGAAGGGAAAAAATGCTATGCTATACACATACAGATGAAGATGTTGTTTTTTCGAGCTACGTATATTTATACAGAGGTTAAACAAAATTTTGTTTCTGTCCTTATCGCTGTCTCTTGTTCACGCCGAGCGTGAATGTGTATGAGATGTAATCGGTTTTAGTTTACTCTCTCAAATTCAAACTATATCTAGATATTTTATATGTATATGATTGTTGGAAAGCCAGATGAGGGAAAAAACCCACACCCACACTAGACTGGTTCAAAAAAAAAAGTTGTCCACAAAAAAAATTGCCGACCGGATTCGAAAAATATACCTCAAAAAAATAGGTTTTGTCCAAAAAAATCATATAGTTACCATATAAAATACCCTGCCAGTTTTTATATCAAAATTTTCATGACAGCGATTTCGGAAGCCATTTAGATCGCAACATTTCGACCTAAATCATTTTTCCAGCCAATTCTCGGCAAAAACTGATGATGAGGTTTTGTTTGGCTCGTCAATATCTATAACTTTCACCAATCAGGCCTTGAAAAGGCATTCTGGGCCAGTTACAGTGTAAAATGACCAAAAGAAAAATGCCAAATTTTCGGCATTTTTTGCATTTTTCGCTCTACTGGTCACCCAGGCGGTGGGCTTCTGTTCAGTTTTTGACTTGTGTCGTGTAGCCAGAACCTGTACAAACATTTTGGTACTTGTCAGATTGCGATTTGGATGGAATTTGGCGACAATTGATTCACACATATAAGACAAATTTCAGGCCAAAATTAGCAAATCACAAACATGAGCTTCGATTTGACAGATAAAAGCAAACGATTTCTACCTCTTCTGCCTTTGAACATCTAGTATGATCCCTTACGAACATTTTGGGTACTTACATGACCAAATCGAGTGATGTTTTCACATATTTCTAGCCACATTTTCAATTTCAACTCTAAAAAAATCGACATTCGACCGAAAAATC